CGGCCCGCGGGAGGCGCGGCGCGGCCCGGGCCCCGCTGCGGGACGCAGACCCCCCCGTCCCTCCGCAGCGGGCAGTGGCAGGTGGGAGGCGGGAATAGAGCGGCGAAAGGATCTTTGAGGAGGGGGAATGGAGGTAGCGGCAGAAGTGGGTGATTTGCTCCCCGCAGCCCCCCTGAAGGCTTCCCACAAGCTTTGGAGTGCCACCTGCCTTCCCATCCCCTTTTCTTTTATGTAACGATGAGGCCTCCCTTCCCCCAAAGCTGATCTGTGGGGAGAAGGCTGGTGTTGCTTCCTTCTGCAAGGCAGTTTTTTCCCCAAAAAGATACCTTTGCCCTGGGCATGGAGGTACATGAATCACCCTTCTGCTGCCTTTGTGCCCCGAGTTATGCAGAGGTGCAAAGTCAGGACTGGGGGCAAGGGGAGGAGAGGGGAAATTGCTTTTTCTCCTCCTCTCCCCCACGCCTACCCACTGCAGCACCTGCAGACAAGACTGCTGGAGTGGTGCAGGACTTTACCCAGTCTCTGCACAGAGAGCACTGCTGCAGCTGCAGCAGGCTGTGACTGTGCCTGCAGAGCCTGGCAGCCCTGCAGCACGGCACAAAGCAGGGGTTGCAAGCACTGCAGTGCCACTGCCAGCCCTGGCACAGTGTGTACTCACTGATGGATGGGACTGCACCGTCAGAGCCTCCTGGGCACATCACAGAGGATCTTGGAGCAGGGTGCCTTTAAGGAAGGCTTAAGAAACAGGCAGTGTGTTTTACAGTGAAGTTGCCCTTTCATACAGCTTTAACCCACTGAGTTCATTTAATTGATGAATCACAGAACTTCAAGATGGAGAAGACCTGTTATTGGCTTCCCTCCCCCTGCCAATGTGGGATTGTTTCCTATACTCTGTAATCATGTGTATTACATAAAAAGCCTGCTGCTCACTTTGTAAAAGCAGAAGTTGATCAAATACAACCTGGCCTGTGTGAAGCACTCTGAAGCTAAGTAACATCAAGTCCATGTTTAACAGACCTGGTCTCATTAACTTTTCACTGCATAATACATTATCTTCACTTAAGATCAGCATGTTACAAGTCCACAAAACCTAAACACCTCACCTCATGGATGCCTCTGTCTTTTCTTTCCTTCTCATAATTTATCTCCATAATTCCCACAGCTAGAGTACAAACCACTTGTAAAATGTGTAGCCCTGACTGTGCCATCGTTACAGCTACTCTGCATGCTGTATTCATTAGCTTTGTTAGAAATAAAAGTGCAAAGGAACAGATTTTCTGTCTAGTCTCATACATGCTTTCTTTTCACATATGCCACAAGTTATGTAAGAACTTCTGATTGAAATGTTTTGAGCATGAGGAAAGTTTCTCCTTACCACTTCAGGGCACACAATAAAAACACTAAGGAAAACAAACAAACAAACAAGCAAAAAAGAAACTGAGACACTCTTCTCCCAGTGGAAATCACAATCGCTTTGCCTTTTTTAGCTGCTCAATAACAGCACCCACATTGGAGAGAGCAACTCTATACTCTGTTCAAAACAAAAGTAAAAATCAGAAAGGCAGTCCATTTGCCTATTTCCAGCCATTTGGGAAACGTGGCTACATTCTTTGATTTAATGTCCTCTTATGACAGTGAATTCCATGCTTCGATAACATGCTGTGCAGAGTTGACTGCACACAGAGCTATACATTCGGTGCACTCGGAGCTTCTTTGCAGAAACAACTCTATGAGCAAGCACTTATCCAGGATATGTACCACAGGTCTGCTGCAGTATTATCCAGGTCTGGTGAAATATAATATATATTTATATTTTTCTGCTATTGGTGCACTCACAGCTTCCAACGAGGTATTTTTACAAATATATATACTCTGTTTTGTGATGAAAATTCAGAACTGACAAGCAGCAACCTAATTTTAAGGTGCTGTTCCACCCTTGTTTTCCTGCATAATTGCAGGTAAGTCTGTTTGTTCTGCTTTTATATAATAAAAAAATAACAAGACTGTATGTCACAACTACTTAGACTATTCATTCTTGAGGGCTCTTGTCAGCACAGCAGATCCCAAAGCCTTATTGAAATCTGTGGGTACATGAGTAGCAGAAAAAATGTTGCAGGACAATGAAAAGACAAACTAGAATATTGCTATCCCTCTCCTCATTTTGAATTGCTTTGGGCACTGCTATTTCTCCATTTGAATCTAACAATACTGATAAGCAAACATGCTGGAAGATTTACTAAGAAAACTGTACCATTAGCTATAAGGTCACTGAAAATCTTGTTAAGGAAAATAGACTAATGAGCAGTAAAACTAGGGCATGCAAAGAGGGCATATATTACACTTTATAGTGGTAAGTAGTTCAAATTAAATTAAATTTAAATTAACATGTACTTGCTGCCAAGTTTTAAGTCAAGCTGCTGATTTTTTTTCCTTTCTATATTATAGGAAATGACTACCAGCAATAAAAGAGGTAATTCCTCCCAGGAATCAAACTAATAGTTTTGGTTCAGGAACAAAAGTTTTCATAACAAGGCTGCAAGTTGCAAAGTATCAAAAGCTAGAAAGAGGCATCAGGAAATATTTCAAAAACATTTAGAACATTTGCTTTTAAAAATTTCACTGTACTCTTTTATTTATTTATTTATTTATTTATTTCCCATACATGCTTAAAAATCAGCTGCTATTTCTTTTATTACCCCTTACTAATGGCTCAGATTTACATGATGGTAGATCTGGTGTTACTATGCAAGTGGCATTATGCTCCTCCTCTCTGACTTCTCCATATAGAACACTGAATTCCTGAATGGAAAATGCAGTCCATGCTCAGTGGTAGTGCTGATGAACTCCAGCAGATAGGAAAGCAGTAGGCATTCAGACTTAAACACATCACAAAGTTTCACTGCTACTCTTGATCATGTGTAACACTTCTTAGGTGACTAGAATTGATAGAAATCTTGTGCCAAAGATGTCCTAGTACAGCAAAAGTTATAACAGATCTTGCATTTCTTGCCTTCTTGCCTTCTACATGTTCAAAGTCTTGCCTTATGGAGAAAGATGAAGACTTCTGTAATTTGCTGAAGATTTTTTTCCAGATGAGAAAGATCAGTGGTTTTGTTTTAAGCTTTTTTTTTTTTTTTTGAGAGAATAGAGTTATCAATCAAACCTCATATTGCAAAGATTAAAAAAAAAAATGTATTGAATCACCTCATTAACAGCAACATTAGAATGCAGTAATAGAACTTAAAATTTACAGTGATAACTTACAAACAGACCGTTGTGAGGCAAGTAGACAGACATAAGGTCTTAATAAGCCACTGTGAAATATGTCCCATTATCATTTAATCTTCTGATAGAGGACATTCAAAAAGTGTATCCATTGCTAAGTAAGCCATGTCACGAGCATGATATATCACTAGAATATTTTCAGTCTGAAGGAGTAGAAGCAGAAGATCCCAAAGATGCCAATTAACAACCATCCTATAATTCAAAGAAATGGGCACCTAGCTAGAAAGCTCATTATCAACCTGATGTGCAAATTATCAAAACCTTAAACTTCATTGGCACTCTTAGTGTTACTCAGTGGAAACTCTGGAAAAGAGAGACATTAAGATAACTACTGAAAGAATGAGAAAATAAATCAGCAACTAACAATGGAAAAAAAAAAAGGCATTTGCATAAACTCATGATCGTATACCAAACCAGTGAATAAAATGTTGGACAAAAGTCACTAGTCTTCATCAGTAGTAGAAATCAGGGTCAATTAAATTGAAGGGTCAATTAGAGTCAATAAATTAGAAGAGGAACTAAAGCTAGATTTATGGCTACCCTTATCACACCAGCAGGTATCACAGGATGTGAGTGTATCATGAGCATGATACAATGTTCCCAATAGAAACTGAAATAACTGACAAACCAGGATAGTGGCTGATGACACTTCCACTATAAAGGAAAGGAAAATGTTGAAGAAGACGGAGTACCTGACCATGACTTCAGTTTGCGACTGACTACAAGGGAGTGCTGTGATAAGTATTAGCCTGGATTTAGATAAGATTAAGCCAGCAGGAACTATGGCTGGAATTTCTGTGAACTTTCACATGACTCCAGTTATATACCCAAAATATTTGCTTCATTAAAAAACAGAGCAGAAGTAGTAAAGGAAATCCTGAGATCATCCAGGTACTGCCTTCAAGTAGTTAATACACAGAGACACCACTTGGCAGTACTGAGGGCTCCATGTGATTTGGTAAAGGCAATCAAACACAGGAATCAGTCCCAAATTGCTATAAACCCCTGGAACAAATAAAGCCACAGAAAGCTTGGAGACATACTGCTGCTAAGTCAGCACTTAGAACATTAATTGGTAGAGTCCTGACACAGTAGGGATAGAATCAGGTAAAAGAGCTCCTGCCCTTGCACAGAGGGGTGGAACAAGCCTGTCATGTCATCTTTGAGCATGCTATGAAGGTGCAGCATGAATTCCGTCTGTCAGAAAGCACCTTAAAACAGTCTGTGTCATTGGCTGGGGTGATATAGGCATAAAAATGGTTCATACACTGAGAAAGGCTATTATGAAAGGGATAAGGACCACATGCCGTGCCCCTCCTGTTATTAGGCAAAGAATTGAGCACTCTGAATGTTTATGTAAATGCACAAGATCAAATTTTATTTAAAGCAGGACAGGCTGTAATCTCTGTAGATACCAGCACTGACATCGGGAAATGATTATGTTACCTTCATATTTAGAGATAGAAGATGCTTGATTTAAGTCGGGCAT